CCAGGCAGAACACTTCTTTTTATTTTCTTTTATAGTGTCATAGAAATATTCCAACTTATTTCTTTCTGGAGCAGTTTTTTTCTCTAGTAATTCCACACTTCCACAACCCTCCAAACCAGATTCATGTTCTATTTTCTAATTCTGGACATATTTCTCTCTTGCCCTAAAATTTATTGGTTTCCTCTTGCCTTCTAGAATAAGTATAAACTTCAAATCGCCATAAATGATCCTCCACAATCCATTAACACTTCTTAAAAGGGATTTCCTCAGATTACCCTAAGAAAATGTATATAACATGGCATGGGAGCATAAACATGAGAGAGATTACATGTTAAAACAATAAACATATCTTGTGTTTTGGTTACAGTTGATTGTTTAATAATCCTATATAATAAAGATGTAACATGCAAATGGTCAACACGCTGTGAATCATAATGACCAACTGCAAAACAACTGGATCACAGATCAGCAGGATGGTTGGGGCAGCCAGTTACAAGTGGGCAGTGGAGAGCTCCAGGAGGGGGCAGAGCAGCAAGCTATGCCTGGGGACCTAGAGAAAGGGGCTAGGGGGAGCTACGGGAGGGTGGGGCAGTGGGCAGAGAGCTACTGGAGAGGCAGCAGGGAGCTATTGGTGAGCTACTGGTGCACAGATTCGTGCACAGAGCTACTGGTACCTTATAATAATATATCTCAGTTCCTTTTGTTCAAGATGTAGGAGATACTTATTTCATAAAATGATTCTAAGTGAATTGACAGATATGCTGTTTACCTATTTTTGCTTATCAATATTCCATCAACTCTTTATATTTTTTATTATTTTGTTTGTTTGTTTGAAGTATTACAAATAGTAGTACATATGCCTCCTTCCCCCCCATTGACTTCTCCCTAGTTCCCCATCCCCCAGTACATCCTTTCACCTGCCCCCCCCCAGTGTCTATCATTGGTTATGTCTATATGCATGCGTGCAAGTCCTTCAGATGATCTCTTACAGCCCCCTCCTTGCAACCTCCCTGCCTTCCTACTGTAGTTTGACAATCTGTTCAATGTTTCTTTGTCTCTGTATCTATTCCCCCCCCCCATTTCTTTCCTTTAAAAAAATCTTGCTTCTGCAGACTAGAACCCTTTAAAACTTCATCAGAAAGCCATCACAATTGTGTCACTCCAAAAAACTTCCTTGTTCTTATGTCCAGATGTCTCCTAACTGCTCTTTAATATACTCTAGCATTGTTTAGCCTTGCCCTTTATACTATCTTTTCTCTATTTTATTATAGTAATTTGCATGTCTATGTAACACTCCTTTTCTCTACAACTTGAGGACAAACTCCGGTAAGATAATTTTCTTGCCTCTCAGTCCTTGTAGTACCCATGACACCTGATTTAGTGATTTATGTGATCAGTTAATTTCAAGGGTTTTTCATATGCTTGTTTCTTTTTTGTAACCACTGCTGTTATTCTTGCTAGAGCAAGCCCGTTTTTCAAATGTAATTTTACATGGAAGTCTGTAAAAAGAGAGGGTAGGGGAGAGACTCACTCTGGTTGGTAGGGGAGTGATTGTTACATTTCCCCCAAATATCCTCTTTCTAGCTACCCCTTGCTGACTCTACAGAATACTCTTGGCTCTGCTCAATCTGGTCTGAAAGCTACAGTATACAGTTCACATGTCATGGTCAAGCAGGGAGAGGTTTTTTAATACTGCCACTCAGTGTTTTATCTGAAGACTGAAACTTGTGTTTGGAATAAACTTTTAAGAGAAAAATACATTGAAGATGCAAGTGGGCCAGTGGTGAAGTTATGTGTTATACAATTGCATTGTCCTCTTATTGACAAATTTCACCCCAATAAATGCTATCCTCTCTGTTGAAAATACCTAGATATTAAAGAAAAGGAAGTGAGGTGAGTGGCACAATCATTAGATGTTTTCAGCAATAAATGACTCTTATGCCTTTTAAAAGAAAAGAGCTGAAATATGAGAAAGCTGGCATTTTGCATGCATGCAGGATCAAAGGGAGAGATTGCTAGATTGATGTGGGACACAGTATTTCTGTTGTATTCTGAAAGGTTTGGGTTATCTTAGCTAGAGGCAGGAGGACTCAGACAAAAATAGCCTTGGCTATGAGGGAAGAGATTGGGTTTGGTAGACAATGTTTCTGTGTATGGGAGGAAGGGTTCTTTGCATGGCAGAAGAAAAATGCCTTGAATTCTGATCTGAGGAGGTGCCACGTTCTGCTCATCTCTAGAACTATTGCAAATGAATTATTTATATATATATATATATATATATATATATATATATATATATAATTGATTTTTTTATGGAGAGGAAGGGATGGAGATAGAGAGTTAGAAACATGGATCTGCTGCCTATTGCACATCTCCTACTGGGGATGTGCTCATAACCAAGGTGCATGCCCCTGAGCAGAATTGAACCTGGGACTCTTAAGTTTGCAGGCTAATGCTCTATCCACAGAGCCAAACCTGTCAGGGCTGAAAATCAATTATTAAGGGCAAAGAATACTCCCTAATACACAGGGACATTTTGGAAAAGGACGAAAGAAGAGGAAAGGGAGGTAAAAGGAAAATATGAGATATTTGTTCTTAGGGTAGAAAAATTTACATCTTCACCAAATAGAGCATTCTAATAGCAGCTCATCCTTCACAAACTATGTCTTCTACTCACTTTTTCTCTTCATGCTTTTCCTTTCCTTTATGTTCTTCTTCCTTTTTCCCCACTTTATTCCCTTTTCTATCTACCTTTTTATTTCATCTCTATCAGGATGTTGGGTGGAATATTTCTTATTGTCTATCGTCTAGGAAATCCTGCTAAAATCCTAAAAAGCTGCTGCAAAGCAGCCTGGCAATGCTATTGCTTTCTAAAGTGAGCGAGCAAGAAATGGGCCATCATCCTAGGTTGTCTAGAGGCTGTTGAACAAGCTGAGCTGCCCTAATCTGGTCACCCCTCTTGAGTCTCATCAATAGGAGATTAAGTGTATGCGAAGGATGCTGTAATTCAGTGTCTGGGTAGGGGATATTTGTAAGGCCAACTCTCTAAGATACTTATTAACAGAGATAATTACTCATTGGATCTCAAAGAAAGAGAGAATGGCATTTAATTCCTCAGGTTAATATCTGCTTATGCATCCAGTTTTCTGACCCATTCTGTGTCTACGCAAAGAGGTAGAGAAGAGAATTGTGAAGAGACCCTGGGGAAGGAAGGGGTCAGAAGCAATCTAGTATTACCAGCACTCAGTTGTTTAGAGTGATTATGAGGCCTGAGCTTCCTGTGAGAGTGTTGATAGACAGGTGACTTGAGCCAGTTTTCTACAGTGGGGTGCTTAAGGAACAGGGAACAATAGAAGAAGCTGTGGAGAATACTGCAAATGTCAGAGCTGTGGTGTGGAGAGAAGAATTGAGCCAGAGCATTTACCCTGATAGACTCTGGGGTGGGATGTCCCCATTTGTAAATGTCCTGGAAAATCACAAGAGAGACACTTGCCACTCAGAGAGAATTTAAGGTTAGTCCCTGTCAGCAATGATAAGGCCAAAAAAGCACCACATAAGATCATGATGTCAAAACCTTTTCATCTTTCCTCATCTTCCATCTCATCCAGCATAGCCAGAGGAAAGGAGATCAGAAGAGGGAGTGAGAAAAAAGCCTGCAGAAATAGACCACATCTGCTTTCCCCATTAGGTTCCTGAGCCATAATAGGGGAGAGAAAAACATGAAAGAGGTTACATATGGCCCTAGCCAGTTTGGTCCAGTGGATAGAGCATTGGCCTGCAGGCTGAAGGGTCCCAGGTTTGATTCTGGTCAAGGGCATGTACCTTGGTTGCAGGCACATCCCCAGTGGGAGCTGTGCAGGAGGCAAATTATTTATGTTTCTCTCTCATCGATGTTTCTGGCTCTCTAACCCTCTCTCCCTTCTTCTCTGTAAAAAATCAATTATATATAAATATATTTTTTTTAAAAAGAGATTACATATGGGATGGAGTTGAAATGTGTCTGGATGATACTTGTTAGACCCAGAGTTATTAACACATATGGAATGTGCACAAGATTATACTAAGCAGATGGGAACTCAGTAGAGCATGGTTGAAGATAACCACTGGAGAAGGATATGGTCATTTCATCTTTGTATCTGCCATAGTATGAATGTTTATGTGTTTATGTTAACCCACAATTCATAAGTTGTTGCCCAAATCCCCAAGGGTGATGGGACTAGTGAGTGGGGCCTTTGGGATGAGGTTTAGCCCTTGTGAATGGATTAGTGCTTTTATATAAGAGAGCCACAAAGCTCGCTGGCATTTTATGCCATGTGAGGATACAATGAAAAGTCTGGGACCCAGATGAGGGTCCTCACCCAACCACGATGGCACCCTGACCTTGTATTCCAACCTCCAGAACTGTGAGAGCTAAATTTCTATCGTTTATAAGTGACCCAGTCTGTGGTGTTAGCCTGAACAGACTAAGACAGCATCCTGATAATTTGAGACTGTTTAGTAAACCTCATGCTACTTGGGTGCATTACAATTTCATAGTATTTAAGTTGTCTGTCATAATACTGTGAAAGTTAGCTGATAGGACATGGCTGCCTTTTAGAAAGAATCCTAAGAATTCAATCTTCTTGTTAGCATGACCAGCATGATTAATAATTATCAATTTCTTTGATTCTAATAACTCGACTCGCAATGATTTACTGTGATTCTAAAGTAAGCTGTTAATTGTCTTATTTGTAATGCTAGTTTCCGCTATTTGTGACAAATTTTAAAAGGAGCTTCGCAATGATAGTGATTAATTTTCTTTTGATTTTCTATTAAGTGAAGATAAGAAACTTTGACAAATTGCTCTTGCAGATTTTGACATCTCTAAGATGTCAGCTTTTATTTTTGAAGATAAGACCCATTACACCAAGCATGCATTAAAAAGCTATAAAACTACAAGAAGCTTGCTATGGGGTGGATCATTAAGAACCATTCCAGAAATAGAAGGAATGAATGTGAGCTTAGCAGTTGCTATCATAGATGATTTGGCACTTCAGGAGCTTGAGATAGTTGTCAATCTTATGAGAATCCCTGCGTAGGCAATGGAGGAGGTTATAGAAAGCAGAAAGGCGAGTGTCTTCATCGGCCACCTGCAGAGATGGAAATCCCAACCAGGTAGGGTAGGGCTCATTTCTTCTGGCTCCAGTTTGCACCTAATGACAAAAAAGATAGTGACATTATAAGTATTATTTGCTTATCATTGCTCTTTCTAATTGTTTTTTTAAATATATTTTATTGATTTTTACAGAGAGGAAGGGAGAGAGATAGAGAGTCAGAAACGTCAATGAGAGAGGAACATCGACCAGCTGCCTCCTGCACACCCCCTACCGGGGATGTGCCCGCAACCAACGTACATGCCCCTAACCGGAATCGAACCCGGGACCTTTCAGTCCACAGATCGACACTCTACCACTGAGCCAAACCGGTTTCGGCTCTAATTGTTGAATTAAGATTTGTGGAAGAGATATGAATATAAAACTCTCTAGACAGAGGCATGGATTATTGACCTATTTATAGTCTAAAAACTAGAAGCAGAACTCAAGTGTAAGTTTCTCATAGGTATGTGACTGTAGATGAAGTATGCCGGTGCTAGATGGAGAACCAGAAAGTTGCTATTTGAATGTAGACATGAATGTGACAAAGGGACAATGAGGAGCTGGCCTCTGTTCTCTCACTTGAGGAACTTCTTCATTTTATGACTTTGCCTCTGGTGTGCACTATGGACTTTATTTCTTCTGACAAGTCACAATGGGACACGTCACATTGATCTTTTCCTGTTTTGAACAGATTATATTCTCCATATAGTATATGTACCAGAGAAGGATATGTTGAGGACTGTACCTGATGTTTTAAGGCTAAGACTAAGATGAGTTGCTGAAGGAGTCAGAGAGACCTTTGCAATCTGCTAGGATAGATAACCCCCGAGTTTTTTTTTTGAAGAATAGCTGCTTTATTTTAAGGTATATTGAGTGGAAGATCCTGGGAAACGTGACTATGAGAAAGGAGGTGTTGGCAGCAACCCATCAGTAGTGAGGATGGGTGGTGGGTGGGAGCACAACTGTGATAATAAAAGGCCACTGAACATCATGAAAGAGGAGCACATGCCACTCAGCGCTCTCCAGCCATTGTGTGCTGGGAGTCTCTGGGGACTTGGGAGACCTAGTATCCACTTGTTTACTAGGGCTGTAAGCTAGTTTGGAGAGCTAGGAGATACAAATGTGTGGTGACTGTAGATTCTGATTGCTAAACTAACTTTCTTTGTACAGTTAGAATATTTTAAAACTAGTGGAATCCCAAGCACGTGTGTGTGTGTGTGTGTGTGTGTGTGTGTGTGTGTGTGTTTGCGTCAGTATATGTTGGCTTGCTGTTTTGTTTTGTTTTATTTTGTTTTGGTGTTTGATCCCTATGACAAAATATACTATGCCAGGGACAATGATATGAATAAGAATAAATAAATATGTATGTTGCTCTTAAAAAAAAAAAACAACTAAAATTGAAGTATTATGGAACAAATTAGTGACCTCAGAAAGTAGGCCCACAGTAATGAAGAAAATCATTTGAAAAATCTATGTGTTAATTACTTATGTCCTAAGGATAAAATGTACTTTGTATTTGATATATTTTTCTCCTATGAAAATGACCAATGACATGTTAACAAGTACTTTTTATACAATAAGAAAAATATAAAATTGCTCCTGTTATTTCTATAATCATATATTTTTCTTTAGATGATGATAAATTATTTCTGAGAACTTCAGAAAGCTATTTAGATATTACCTCACTCATATTGAGATGATCCCATCTAAATGGAGATTTATATTGCAAATATTACCTCAATCTAAATATGACAAATTACTTGGGGAAATCAAATGCAATGTGTCAATTTCATTTTTGAAGCTCCCCAAATAAGATTTAGAATGATGCAACTCTATAAATTAGAAAATAAAAAACATTTTAGAAAAGATATACCCCTTTCTTTTGTAACCCATTGAAATTATAGTGGTTGTTGAGCAGTATCAATGCCATTGTCTCATCTTTTCTATCTCCTTCCTTCCCAAGCAAGAATGCCTACCAGAGGGGGGAGGGAGATAAACACCATCCAATGTGATTTTTATTTTTTAGTTTCTCCATTCTCTCTCTCATGTTTTGGTGTGGGGAGAAAAGAGAAGACTATGAGCAGAATTATAATAGGTGTCCTAGAATTCTTTGAGGAAAACATTTCTCTTGCAAATTATATTTTCAAGTTTCTTTCTATTGAAACTATTTAACTGCTTGTCCCCATGAAGGGCCAGGGCTTGGATGGATTTGTGTGCAGTGTAGGGAAGTCTGCACCTGTCAAATATGACAGTGGAACGCTAAGATTCACTTACAGTAGACCCTATCACTATCAATTACTATTGGTTTATTTAATAGCAATGTAGAATATAAAATGCCTAAACTTTGTTCTTACAAAGTGAGGTATTTTAAAATGTATTCCTCTTCACAGGGTTCACTTCTTTCTTTAATGGGAAAAACAAAAAGTGTCAGGAGGCTACTCACCTGTTCGATGATCTTCTCCATGCCTTCTGCAAGTTGTTTGTTACGTTCCTCGATCTCTATGGCTTTGGTTAGGATGCCATCTGGGGCTTGTTGCGTACCAAGGGTTTCAGGCATACCAAGGGATTCTTGGGTACCAGGGGTTTCTTGCAAACCACGTACTTCCGTGACTAGATGATACAAAGGCTCATTCCAGGAGCGCAGCACCGTAAGGACCAGGTTCAGAAGGTCTTCATACTAAGCAACCATTAAAATACAAGCACAGTACAAGGGGTTACATGTGATTTTTGCTCAGAGAGGCTGACTTAAATATATCTTTGTTATTCCTACGTGTATGTAGTTTGTAGGAAGGTACAAGTTGTAAAAATATAAAATTTAAGCTATTGGTTTATACTTTGATAAATTTTTAAAAATCTGGCTTATGTAACTTCTTTTTTTAATGATAGTTCTAATTTATGACAGAAAGACTTTTATTTTTCTTCTGAAATTCTACCATTTGCCCACATAGAGAATTCTCTCCAATTTGACTGCTTTGCTTTTTCATGGAGAAAAAACAATTTTGTTGGAACTCCATAAGCGCCACTCAGGAAACGTAGAGTCCACCATTGTCAAATGACAAAGAGCTCAAATAATTTCATTTAAAGATTCATTCTTATCAATGAATCAAATTATTCATTAATGCATTGTTTTGTGACTTGTGGTTTTATTTTATGTACTCTTTTTGAAGAAGATACAGTATACAGAAACATGTGCTCCTTAGTCCATACCAACCCCTGCCCCCATGCTGCTCTCAGAGCATTGTATTTAGTGACATATTCTGGTGAATAAAATGGCACAATGCTGTCTATCATTAATAACGGCATTAAAGGAATCCACCGTAGATGTATTGTAGCATAACAATGAAAAGAGTTTTGAATTGGATGAAGCCCAGACTCATTGTTTACTACCCATTGTAACTGGTGTAAATTCTATCAGCTCTCCAAGTCACGGTTTCCTTATATCGGTCTGTGTAATAATAGCACCTTGTTTGGGAGGATTTTATATGAGGATTAAATATAGTAATGCACATAAAGTGCTAATGTAGTAGCTATTAATAAATTTAACTCCTCTTCTTCCTCCTCCCTATTTTCACCTTCTTTCTTTATTTTATTATTATTATCATTATCATCATTATAATTACTTATTAATAGGCTTAGCAGACAGAAAGAATGCCAGTACCAACAACAAAGTTGTAAGGAAAGAACACATTGAATTTACAGAGCTATATATATGAAGATGTTTCTTTTAAATCATGTTAACTGGTTATGGCAGGAAATCAGAAGGAAAATGATAATAATAATAAATTTGAGCTGGGATAAATGACTGGGGCTTGATATGCAGATATTTCTGTCATCAGCACAGAGGCCATAGTCATGAGAAGCAAAACAATATTTTACAAGATCTGCTTTCAGGTGAAACTTATTATTAAGAAGTAAGAGTTGGCAGAGGAGTGAGTGAAGAATGAAGAAAAGAAGGAAGAAGGTGTCAGAGAAGTAGGAGGAGCAGAAGGAGAGCCTTGAAAGTCCAGAAGAGATGACTTGGATGGTGCAGTGGTCAGAAATGTGAAATGCTGTCCTTGTAGGAGCCCCTCTCATAAATAAAACTGATTTGTGTTTCTTATATATCCATGTGTTTTTTTAATTTTTTTTCAAACCTTACATTTTACACATGGAAGTCCAATTCTGCTAATGCTTTCACATAGAATAATATATGCAGTCCTGGGTCTCAGCGTTGGTTACCGTCATGTCTGCATAGCCAATTTCTAGATCTGTTTTTATTTATTTGTTTGTTTATTTATTTATTTATTTTTAAGTGTATTTTTATTGTTCTTTTAGAAAGAGATGGAGAAAAAGGGAGAGAGAAATAGAAAAATTGCTTAGAGAGAACATCAATTGGCTGCCTTCTGTATGCCCCATCACCAGGGATCAAGCCCACAACCCAGGCCCTGATCAGAAATGTGCCCTGATCAGAAATTGAACTGGCCATCTCTTGGTGCATACCTTGACATTCCACCATTTAGCCACACTGGCAGGGCTGTTATTTGCTTTGCTACTACAATATTTTGCCAGCATTTGATTTTACTGACAATTTACTACCTATATAATGTCCTTTTTCTTTGATTGCTTACTCTTCCTCCTCCTTGCCCGGCAAGTGCAATTACCATTACCAATTCTTTTTTCTTTTTTTTTTTTTTAAATATATTTTATTGATTTTTCATAGAGAGGAAGAGAGAGGGATAGAGAGTTAGAAATGCCGATGAGAGAGAATCATCGACCAACTGCCTCTTGCACACCCCCTACTGGGGATGTGCCCGCTACCAAGGTACATGCCCTTGACCGGAATCGAACCCGGGACCTTTCAGTCCACAGACCAACGCTCTACCACTGAGTCAAACCGGTGCCGGCATCATTGCCAGTTCTAATGCCTCTAATAATCTATAGCATGGGAGTAAGTATCAGTATACTGCCTCCATTGTTTTTTGTGAGAATCCTGGATAAAAACTTACATGGATCTTTTGGGCTTGCTCCTTGTCTTCAGGGGTAGGAAGTAAAGAAGTGTGGCAGCCATTGATGGCCTTGGTAATGAACCCCCTGCCATGGGTGTACCGTCTATCCTGAAAGTGATAAAGCAAATTCAATGAGGGTTATTTGGGTATTAAATCAATAAACCCAATTCCAAAATGTTGGCACCTTTGATAGTTGTATAATTTTTTAAAAATTGTAGCCACATAAAAATCAAAGCTAAAGAAATAAGAAAGTTGCCATTTTTCTTATCCTTTCCATTATCTCTATAACAGTTCTTTTTCATTTAACTTTTCTAAATTCCAAATCCTTCCTTTTTTGCTATTTCCTTAATTTTATTCTTTTTATACATTACTATATGGAAAGCAAACACTAAAAATATAAAGAATATAAAATATTAAATGTTTATTAAGTATCTTCTTTCTTTAATACTTGAATCAAATATGGTAGTGCATATGAGCTTATATTTAGCCATTTTAATTTCTTGATTATGTAGGACCAAATGGATACACTCCTTTAATAGGTATTATAAAATTGAAACTTTTATTTGACTAATCTCTAAATCTATACAACTATATACCATCTTCATCATAGATGCAGAGTGCAATTTGTTGATCATGATGAAGTGATAAATCAAAATATTAAGCAATGGGCTGAGAATAAGAACAGAAAAATCTATGCTAACACATTGACAGAGAAAAACCAATCATTAACAAACATAGTGGAAATTCAAAGAGATTACTATAAGTATTTGGAAGACAAAAGATGGCCAGTCAAAAATGTACAAAAGAACAATTAGTGTGAAAAATAACTATATAAATATATATTTATTATAAACATTAAACCACATTCTTCATGGGGATTCTTTGATTTATTGAGGTTCTAATCCATTGCCTGATCTTTGATTGACCTAAAAGAGTTAACATATGACTTCCAAAGTACCTTAATCAGAAAGAAATAATTGTTTCCAGTTCTAAACTAATCCAACTATTGTATTTCTAAACCTGGAAAACTTAGTACAATAATTCATAGCATTTTTGAGTTTTAGAAAAGCTAGCTATTATTACTTGTTTATTTTTTTTATCATGTATTCAGTTTAGTTTAACTTTGCCCAACACACCCACTTCATTGCAGTGTAATTCTCATTTATTATATATCTGCAATGCAGAATGCCATGGGAGAAATATACCCTACATGCAAGGACAAGAAGTCAACATGCTTTCTTCTCCTTAGCCTGACCGTTCAGGCACCTTGATGTCACAGCCTCTACAAATATAAGAAAACACATTTCCATTATTTCAGCTGTATGTATTTTGTATGGCATCCCCAGATGACTAGTATGGATGCTTAACAATTTTTGGAAATTCTTAAAAACAAAATGAATTAAAGGAATTTTTTTAATACACTCTTTAAAAGCCATTGGGATTTCCTGAAACCGTCCCTTTCTTCTTATTCCACATTTCATTTACCAATGCCTTTTTTGACCCATAAGGTGCATTATTTGAAATTTGGCTAGTGTGGCTTTCTTGTTTAAAGTGTGATATAGCTTAGTCATTTACAGGAAGGTTCCTTCTGGGAAGAACCAAAAAGCGTGATACTTACAAACTCATTGAACATTTCGGCGGAGAGATTATGGATGTAGTCAGATAGGATGACTGCACGGTCAAACAGTTCTCCCAGAGGCACTCTGCAGGTGAATGGCCCGCTGGGACAGGTGGGCATGGAGGACACATTGTTGCACAGGAGCAGGCTTGACACCAGCACCAGCACCAGCAGGAATGGCCCTCCTTAAATAGAAATGGGAGCCGTTCTGAGATGATCTGGTCAGCGAGGTTATCAAAAGTCATCTTGTGGAGGACAGGCTTATCTCTCCACATTGCCCTCAGCATGATTTGGTACTTTAATAGCTGGGGTGGAGAAGAATCAACACTTTCCACTGTGTAAATTAAGATATATAATTATATTTGCACAGATATATAGTCATAAAAGTAGGTTATTCCCGGAGAGCTTGCACTGCTCCTAGAAGTGCCTCCAAAACTTGTAAGCATTTGGAGCTTAAATTAATTCAGAGCCAGAGTGTTTAGGTCATTCTCATAAGATAGTTTAATGCCTAAAGGGAGTTTCTGCAGATTTTCAGCAGCCTGGCTCTCTTGGAGTTTGTAATTATTTTATTTTATTTTTTGGTATAGCAAAGGCGGAGATTTATTGAGGTACAAATATAGACTCCCAAGTGGGGAAGGGAGAAATGTCGCCTGTAAATTTTTTTAACACTGTATTGACTAATACTTGCATTTTAGACACTGAAATGACTGTTGATCTGTTTGTTTCACCTTCTTGACTGATAATAAGCACATGCCTGACTGGTTGCTAATGTTGAATATGAAGAAAATTCTAACATCACAAATGATGCTGTAGCCTAGATCTGCTAACTCACTTTAAAAACCCCATGCATCTGCTTGCCACTTTGTCAAAAATTTTAACATTAAAAAAAATTGTTTCACAATAGCCCAGCGAGATAGCCTGAGCCTTCATTATTATCATCCAATTATCTGATGAAACAGAAGGCTTAGCGAGTTTAAAAGATTCTCCCTAAGTCCCATTATGAGCAGGTGGAGGATGCCCATACTGTCGTCTTGTCACTTCTTCATGTCCCACCCAATACACACAATCAGTAGCCATGATGGCTCAGCCAAGAGGCCATTGCCATTACATGTAAAGAACAATGCTTGACCTTTGATTGTATGATAACAATGGCCCTAGAAAGTTTGTTTTACCCATTTTTTCCTGCTCCATTTATAAAACACATACTTTAAAATATTTGACAATTATCTGAGATGATTTAGTCATCAATTTGTCCTCTCGTAGATGTATAGATGTGAACCTATAACATATCAATAATTTACACTTTCAAAAGGTAAGAAATAATATATTTAAATCTATTTTTAATAGCAAAGACTCCAAAAAAATATCTGGTATTAAAATGTGTTGATCAGAAAATTAAAATTTTAAGAAATATTCAATAAATGTAGGTGGATATGTATGAGATGAAACTAGGAAAGTGCTAAAGATTTCATGTGGAAAAATATCTAAACCAAAATACTTAAAAATATCTAGGAATATGTTAACTAAATAACTTTTAGTTGCACAATAAAAATATTCATGTTGTGGGTTAATTAATATAACAGACTTTCATTTTTTTTTTAAAAACATGTTTCCAAAAAGTTCATTTTCTGTACATTGTAGTCATGAAATGTAACTGGATATTTTATCTACAGGTATTATCTACATTATGGCTTCAGAATTCAAATTTCAACACATTGACTCTTCTTGACAAAATCATGTAAGAGGCCTGAGAACCAGAAAATGTTAATCTCTGCCTTCTGGGTTTGTAATAAATTAGACCTAAAGATACTTTGGTTTTATTCCAGTCCTGGGTTTCTCAACTTTGGCATTTTGAATGGAATAATTCCTTGTGCTCCAACCTCTTGAACTGTGAGAACTAAGTTTCTGTTATTTGGAAGTGACCCAGTCTATAGATTCTAGAGGTTCTCCTGTGCTCTGTAGTTTGTTTAGCAGCATCTCTGACCTCTACCCACTAAGCAACAGTAACACCACCTGCCAATGAAGACAACCAAAAAACATATGCAGACATTAAGATGTGTCTCTAGAAGAAGGATTCATCCATTTGAGAACTGCTGTTCTATTCTATTGTGCCTTTATACAATTGCTTTATAGATCAGTGGTTAGATTACTTTTCTAAACTCTGTAAACCTGAAACATATTGCTAAGACAATATTAGCTAAAATTTCAGATTCATACCCTCAAAGAAGTGTTGAGAAAGCCAACAATTCAGTGAGTTGCTGTACATACCTTTGTTGTCCATGGTGGTGATAACTTCGGGAAACACCCTTAGAAGATCTGGTAGTCCCAGAACTACCAAAGAAGATCCGATAGTCCCACAGCTTTCTCTTTCCCAGATATTGGCTTTATAAACCTTTGACATCTTTATGAATATTTTTAATAAGTATTGCCTTCCCTTCTACCCGTCATCTATTTTCGTCAATGAGATTACCCCCATAATTTCAAACATCAAATGGTATTTTATTTCTTATTCATATGTAGGAAAACATACTGGTCAGAAATTTCGAAAGGGATTTTGATTAATTAGACCAAAAGGAAATGAGAAAAATAATGAAGGTGAGATTTGGAAACTAGTTTGGGTTAGAGGACCTTTAAAACTCTAGAAGTCATTTACTTTGAATATTACCTTTATTTCTCTGCAGTTTCTTCATTGTAGCATTGAGAACCGCTGTCCTATTCTATTGTGCCTTTATACACTTAGGTGTTTCATGTATTACCAAAGGGTATTCTTTTTGTCATTCAAATTTGCTAGGCGGCCAAGATTTCAAAACTGACATACTAAATACTAGGAAATAAAGATTGAGAAACTCAAATTTTCAGTTCTTTGTTATATTCTCCTTACAATCTTACTTTTTTCTTGTTTTTACACATTATTTTGTTCTTTGGCACTTTGTTTTTAAATGTGCATTTTATTTGCTTATCTCTTTAGATTTTACCATATATATAAACTTATATTATCATCTCCAGTTTACAGATTAGAAAACTGAGATTTGGAGAGATTAAATGTCAATAATTCAAAAGAAGTAATTAGTCAAGGTAGATGTTAAAAGGATTATTACTTCAAGAAGAATCTAGAGGGTTGTAAGAAGGCTGGAAAATGAATCATTTAATAAACATTGCTGTGTACCCATATTAAAGATGATCAGGAAATCATTCCTGACCTTGGGAAATTTATTTTGGGAAGGTAAAATAATGGTTTTCAAGGGTAAACACAAGCACACACTCACATACACACATCCTATATCTGACGTAGTAAAACAAATTCTAAGCAATCATTCCATGTTCCTCAAAGACAGGGGTTGATAAACCTCTATTAACATATGATCATTTTATTTCTCTGACCTTGAGCCACTCTAGGGCTAAAGTGACAAAATTTAATCTTTCATTGGCTCAAAAGTTCCATTTGCCTTTTAGAAATTTCCTAAATGAAATGATTATAATGAATATAAACTAAGTTGTTGACGACTTTCTCTAAATTAAGTCCATGCATCTAAAACAGCCTGTGACCTTTAGTTTCAATTTTACCATATGTCTCTTATGGTAAATTGACAGATGAGGTAATTTAAAAAAATATTCCCTATAACATTTACTTTTACTACGGTTGCTACTGCCTTATTTATCCTTGAGCAATTGTCAGACTAAGTACTCTTATGGGGGCTTAGAAATCTTAAGACTAACATCACTTAAAAACTATCTTTCTTATTAATTAAGCATAGTGGTTTGGGTCAACTTCTGAGTTCGCTATTCTATTCCATTGGTCTATATATCTGTTTTTGTGCCAGTACCAGGCAGTTTTGAGAACAGTGGCTTTGTAATACAGCTTGATGTCTGGTATTGAGATTCCTTCCTACTTTGTTCTTCTTTCTCAGGATTGCTGTAGCTATTTGGGGTATTTTCTTATTCCAGATGAATTTTTGGAGAGTTTGATCTAGGTGTGTGAAATATGTCATTGGTATTTTAATGGAGAGTGCATTAAATCTATAGACTGCTTTGGTCAATATGGATATTTTAATTATGTCGATTCTACTAATCCATGAACACGGTATGTTCTGGGTTGGGAAAACTGGACAGATATCTGCAAAAAAAAAGAAACTAAACCACCAACTTACACCATACACAAAAATAAACTCAAAATGGATAAAGGACTTAAACGTAAGATGGGAAACCATAAAAATCTTAGGGGAATCCACAGGCAGCAAAATCTCAGACATATGTCCAAGCAATATCTTTATCAACACAACTCCTAGGTCAAAAGAAACTAAAGAGAAAATAAACAAAAGGGACTACATAGAAATAAAGAGCTTCTGCACAGCTAAAGAAACATCAGCAAAACAAGAAAGTCCATTGCATGGGAGAATATATTTGCCAATGTTATCTCTGATAAGGATTTACTCGCCAACATTTACAGGGGACTCATACAAATTAACAAAAGGAATACAAACAACCCAACCAAAAAATGGCCAACAGACCTAAGTAGCCACTTTTAGAAAGAGGACATACAGAAGGCCAAGCGACATATGAAACATGCTCAAAGTCACTAATCATCCAAGAGATGCAAATCAAAATGACAATACGGTACCATTTCACACCTGCCAGAATGCTTATCATCAACAAATCAACAAACTACAAGTGCTGAAGAGGATTTGGAGAAAAAGGAACCCTTTTGCACTGCTGGTGGGAATGTATACTGGTGCAGCCACTTGTGGAGAACAGTATGAAGTTTCCTCATGAAACTCCCATTTGACCCACTGATTACACTTCTAGGAATATATCCCAAGAAACTAGAAACAACAATCAGAAAGGATATATGCATCCCTATGTTCAAAGCAGCACAATTTACAACAGCTAAAACTTGGAAATAGCCTAAGTGCCCATCAGCAGATGAGTGCATTCAAAAACTAACACATCTACATAATGGAATACTATGCTGCTGTAAAAAGGAAGGAACTCTTAACCATTTGCAACAGCATGGATGGACTTGAAGAGCATTATAAGTCAGTTGGAGAAAGATAAATATCACATAATCTCACTTATTTGTGGAATATAATGAATAACATAAACAAGACAGAGAAGCATTGATCCAGAGACAGAGAAGCATTGGTCAGACCTCAGAAGGAAGGCAGGGGAGAGTGGGAGTTAGTGGGAGAGATCAACCAAAAAACTTGTATGCATGCGTATAAGCATAACCAATGGACACAGACACCAAGAGAGTGAGGGCATGAGCAGGGGTGGGGAGAGGCAATGAGGGGATAAGGACATATATGTAATACCTTAATCAATAAAGAAAAAAACCTATCTTCCTAATTGCCTTAGCTTAAGCAACATCAGATTTTGAATCATACGTATCCGGTGTGATGATTTAGTTTCTAACAATCTGAACTGGGTCAGGATTTCATGCACTCAGACTAGGTATCCACTTTTTCCCCTGGACAATGGACGTCTCAATTATTAAGAGAGCAGCACCCTCTGGTAGAGAAATTAATGCTGCCCTATATCTCTCCACTCCCTCTCCTACAAACTTAAGAGTACAGAAATCTGTCATAAGAACTGACAACTTAATCTTAAAAGGTGAAAGTGTTGCTACTTTTGTAGATAGCTAGGAAAAGTGTAATCTAAGGAAATCTGAGTTATGTTTATTCAGTTGAGGCCAATTGATTTACTGTATTTACCTCCACAGAGATATGTTTTCTCTGTGAAATTTCTTATCTCTTTCCTATCTGCTCCACAGCCCCACATTCCTATTAATGGGATATAGCAATATCTAAATAATGTAAAAGGCATATTCTATGCAAGAAGTCATAGTTGTCCTAGTTTCTCAGCTAACTATGTCATCCATTTTTTACCTTAATTTTGAGCCTACTCTATTGCAGATCTTTCCTTTCTCAAACTCTGACCTTAATTTAGAACAATCGAGAAGTTTACTAAGAATTGGTCTTTCTATTTACAAAAGTTCATTTGTTTGCCATTTTTGGCCTATAGGTTTAGGATTAAACTTAGAGCTGGTGATTAATTTCTGTCAAGTAGCTGAATAAATAGCTCAAATGATGTTAAAGAGCCATGAATGTTTTAGCACCTGAAGCTAATAAACAATTTTCCCACCTTTTCTAACTGGCTCCAATTTTTAACATTAAGCCACATCAGCTTGGTTTTTTATTTTGAATTAGAGATGGAGCTTATACTTACTTTTTATTTTCTTTTTCTTAACTATTTTTAGATTTGGGATGATTTTTTTTCTTGTCATTGATGATGGAAAAATATTTAAAATGCTTTACATAACTTGAAAGGTGTCTACTGCAAGATACAGAGGGGAATGTTAAAGAGCAAAAATTAAGAGGTTTAAAAATCATCAGAATCTTTCAATCTATATTAAAATGAATTTTATTATTATAAAATTTGCAAATGATTAAATGTGTATTGTTTATTAATTTTAAAATTTCAAAGAGCCATCATATAAAACTTGGACTAAAAGGATATATGTTGTTTTCCCTATAAGATATCAAAAAATGTAAAAGGAACATTGAAGAAACGATCAATCACAGTGATGATTTCTTGAATTGCACTGTTGTCAGGATAAGCAAAGTAATGATTTAATTGCTTCCTACTATTTACATTAACTTCATGCATATTAAAACACACATTTTTCCCCTTTAAGTGCCTGTGTTCAACCCTTATCTCTTACTAGGGCTTTGCACATCATCAGTTTTCCTAAGGAACTCCAGAACCCAAGTTCTTAATCTGTTGGCAGTGTCTTGAGAGCATTTGTTCCTTAACTGAGAAAGCCACAGTGGAAGCATCTGGAAATTTCCAATGGGATTTCTTTTTCTCTTTATTTCTTGTTTTCACTATTATGATATTCATATTCTCTGACCTAGTTTTATGAGTTCTTTGTACTGACTTATCCTATGGCTTTCTTGTTATATGCTTTTTCTAAACCATCTGTCTCTTTATTGCCTACTTTAAAACAATGCCAAACCTAAGAATCACGTGTCTAGAGACTTCACCGATTCACTCTCTGAGATTACATTTTTTTTCAAGTAACCACATAAAATATTTTGCTGTATGCTCATGCTAAGTGGTAAAGGTAATAAATTTCTTTGTGAAAGATTCCTCATACATCAAGATTACGTGTGTGTGTGTGTGTGTGTGTGTGTGTGTGTGTTCCTTGCCTAATGGGAAATGTATTTGAAACATGTTCACTTCCAGGAATCTATCATCTATCTATCACCTATCTATCTATCTATC